TTTACACCCGTCGACACAACCAATTTCGTCAACGCTTAAAGCGAATAAAACTCGATATTTTAAGCAAGAAAAAAAAATTTACAATAAACAAACTTGGATATTGTAAATAATTCACGTAAATAAACAAAAACTTGATGGAGATTCTGTACAAAATTCTCTGACTATTTTAAGTGTTAATATTTAAAAGGTCTATATTGTTCCTGTATTCTTGGACAGTTCGGCTGCCTTGGTCCAAAATCCTATCCTCTACACTATACTAGTAATATTCATTAAGCGAAACATTTACTTTTAATAGAGTCATTGTAACCCTAGATATATGACACGGAACAGGATACAGGTCATGGAACACTAGTTAAAAAGAGAGAAGGCGAAACAGAGAGATATTAAAAAGTGTGTTGGTGACTTTTTATATATATATACCTCAGCCTATGATTGTCTGTCTAGCAAGGAGAACTGACGGCCGATGGGGAGCAAGGTTCTCCAATGGTGACCACGTACTGGAAAGCGCAGTGTGGGACGACCGCTTACCCGATGGACGGACTTTTATATAAAATTATAAATATTATAATGTATAATACACTACAATTCAAAATAAAACAATAGAAGAAAATATAATAATACTTATCGCAAACATTCTGACTAGAAGTAAATATTGAAAATCAGATTCTCCAGCACTCCGGTAATTATTAAACCAAGACTCGAGAGTCAACACAAAAAACCGAACAATTGCTTAAGCTTAACGATGATCGTGGTATGACCGCAGCGTTCGGCACACACCGGTTGGGATACCCACACCGGTGTACCCCCGAAGCGGGTGTATCAGGTGTCGCCTTCCGCAAATACGTTCACATACCGACTGTTGACATGCCTCGACACTTCTTTTCAACAGAACTGTTCAATTAACAATTATAATTAGGATTTTATTTTGTAATATTCTAGCTTCTGCCCGGAGCTTTTCTCGCATTAATGATGATTTTGTTTATTAAATTACCATTATTCTGAAACAGTGTTTATTTACTGAATCATAGTTATTTCGAACGTCTAAAACACAACATCATCTAGTTTCAAACTTAGCAGAGCTTGTACTATGAAAGCTAGATTGACTGATACAATACTTATATACTTTTTTGTAAATACATACATATTATACATAGAAAACACCCAAACCCAACCACCAAATTCAAATCGATAAATAGGTATTCGACAAATATTCGATCACGTTTTTATCCCCAAAGAGGTGGACTAAACGTGAAATTTTGAACCGAACCAACGACCTCTGGCCTAGCACTCGACCAATAGGCCTAAACAAAAAATACACAATTAAAAAAATATTTTCTTAAAATACAGAATTCAAAAGCAAATTTAATACACGCCAAAGGTAATCCTTTAACATAGGTCTAATGACAACAAAAATATTTTCTTAAAAAATAAAGTTTTCCTTCAGTTTATTTAAGATAAATGTAAACACAAATGCAACATGAATGTCTCCTTATTCAGAATTGTTTCCGCATGACCATATTTGCGCAACCGCTGACACACAAAACATACGACTATGGGCAAAAATACAATACTTTACATAATTTCAACTCACTCCTACACGCACACTTAATATTCATTTGAGTGTTCACAATTTTTCTGATGAAGCTGGTTTTTTAGTTGGTGTTCGGTGTCATGACGCCGCTATTTCTCAGGAGTAATTTTTTTGTTTTGTTCTAATAGAAGAATAAGGATATAATTTTATGACACTTCCCATAGATTTTAACATTCATAGCAATAGTAGTGTTAATATTATGGGCAAATATAACCATGCGTAACAGAACTCGTCAAATTCAAACAAGCCGTGTCGGATTTTAGCACGATACCAATTAAAGTATAAAGAATAACACAGAAATATTTACAACAGCAGCTAATGGCATTAGGAGATCCGACCCCTGTGTATTAAACGAAAAACCAAAAGCAGTAACGTGTCCGGACTTGGGAACAACAAATTCCCAAACAGTTTTAATTACTACACGTTCATTGTCACTGACAATACCTTCTGTGGCCTTTTATAACACACAGATCTTATATGTTGTAAATATATTATATTGTGTAGCTCAAATGCGCATAGTCGTTTTACTATTATTGTAGCAATAATATAATTATACAGTTACTGGGTAAGAGGGGTCAAACACACCATTTCACATATATTTTCTTTTCATAAAAAATATAGTTCGTGGGAAGTAGAAGCGTAGTGTTGAAAATAAATTCGAACATTTCTCTGAAATAACATGCATGTGGAAAAAATATTTTAGACGGGGTAAGCTCACATTACAGAAAAAACTAAAAATTCAATTCATTTAAAAGGTCCAATAAGATTCCAAAAGCATCAGATTACCAACAGATACAGGAATGGTGTTGCTAAGACAATATTAATGCTTTTAATTCTTTAAAATAAGAGTCCATATAAATTGCGATGGGCAACACAATGAAATGTTTAATGAAACAGAGGAAAAGGTCAGCGGGACCTCAGACCTTCAATTAAAGAAATAACCAATGAGTTGAACATTTTTATTGTAAAGATAGATCTGACATATTTATATTTGTTATAGCTTTCATTGCAATCTGTATTTAAATATGTGATGAGAATTCTGTGAAAACTTTTTTCAGCAAATTTCACTGACGAATTTTAAATTTAAGATTTGGTACATTTAAGTACCATTTATAGGCAGCATGTATTGTGAATCCTTATGAGAACGATTACATGAAGCTACAATGAAATCCAGTAAACAAAATATGTATATTGATCTGTCATGTTACAGATAGTCTATAAATTAACAGTTCAACTTTTACTGAAAAAATTATACCTCGATTTATGTTTTGAACAAGTTTTAAATTTTATTAAGCTATTGCATAGCTTCTATCGAGGGCCTTGAGCGCGGGGACCGAATCCAGAAATTCCGTAACGAAAAAAATCCTCACGCTAAAAACAAAACAAAAAACAGTACCAAAATCAAATGCTGAACGTCAAAGGAAATTTCGTCAACATAATGCAGAAAAATCTTACATGGATATGTAATTTGATTTAATAATAATATTTTTTATTTATTTATTTAAAAACAAATTGTAATATATGCATAATCGCAGGCTACCTTAATTTAAATTTGACAATATTCGTATAAAGGTTGTCTGTAAGAGATTGCCACGGGTGATAAGACCCTTTATTGTTATTCCGCAAAGTATATAATATCTGCAGCAGTGTAAAATAAAGAGATAAATAAAAAAGACGTGTGGCACTCGGGGACTGCCGCGGTAAAGCTATTGCATAGCATTTTGTATCAACTTATGCAATTATAATTATTTATTTATTTTATTTATGCAGTATTTCTTTTTCTTTGATATTAATTCAAGTTACACTTTTTGAGCGTGGTGACGGATTAAGAATACAAATTGTCACCACCCCAATTCATCCCGTGGGTGTCGTAAGAGCCGACTAAGGAAGCAAACTAAGCAGGACAACAGCACTGCAAAGAGAAGGAAAACTTGAAACAAACCCTATACCAACCCGTCTGGCCAGCGTGGTATAGTAGGCCAAAACCTCCTTTCTAAGGAGAGACCTATGTCCAGCAGTGGACTAGTATAGGCTGTTGATGTTGATGTGAAGGAAAATTTATGAATTAGCGCCATCCCCTGGCCATTTGGAAAGTCAACCATCCTGCGAACTTTATTTTAAATCGTTACTTTACGATATAAATATTTGATACCTTTTAGGTCTTGACATTCGTTCTGTTAAGCTGAGTTATTTAGAAACAAAACTGTATGTTTCACTGAGTATTTTGACAATAAATTATTTTAAAGTGATATGTCACACATTATTATTACAATCAATGCTTTTTTATATACCTCCGTGAGAACTGCTTATTATTAAGTAAAAAAAACATTTTATGTTCATATATTGATATAATAATCACGGTTATTAATTATGATTTAAAACAATTAAAGCCTTTGGAACTAACAAACTTAAAAAAAATATCCTAAGATTTAAAATTTTAGACTGAGTTATAGAAAAAAAACTTGCTAAATATCGCCAATTAAAAGCAATTATTAAATGAAAGCGATAGTCGCACAAATATGCAGGTCACAACTTCTGATTCATTTTTTAATTATCCATACCCTTTTGAAAGGTAAAATTGAACTTAAGTCCTTTGGGTCAAAATTCAAAATTCTTTGGCAGCCAATTGACGCTGTTGAACTAATGGCACTACAAATCCTCGGCAGTCCAAGCCAGGTATTGTCCCCTGAAAAGTTTATTTGCTCCTTACACCACTGTCGTCCGATCTCCTTTTTACTTTTGTCTCAGACAATTTTTAAATGGTTTATGTTTGATACCATTATTGTGTGCCAATCAGGTTGAATTACAATGTCCTTTACGAACGGCCGAACTGAGTAAGAATTTCTTTATTATTTTTGCTACAAATCATTTTTTTTTTAGTTTTACAGTAAACAAGGCAGATGCTCGGTTTATTTAGATTAGCCAGTCGAATGCGTAAGTTGAATTTAAATTACTCGTGTTTGAATTTACGGTTGCATGGAGACATGAAAATTGTACTCTTTGATGTGTTTTTTCTTACTTTTACGAGCATTTATGTGTCTTTATTTATCGACAAGTTTACTTTGTTGTAAGTATTAATATATTTTCAATTTGTTTTCGTTTTCACTCACTTGCATTTTAAATTCTACTGTATCAACTGATCACTCTTTTACTTTTCGTGCATACTTAAATGTACTTAGAGTTATCTTTTGTTAAAGCTATATTTTACAGTGAAATCCTTTGATCAATAATCTGAACATTAGCGACACATAAAAGTCACTAATTGATATAGCCATACAATTTTCAACTTAATGTTTATAAAGTGTTAAGTAGTGGCAAGAGTGTGCAATAAATCTCATTGTTGGCACTCTTATCTTCCTCACTGAGGTAGCCGATATGGTGTTGGAAGAAAATTTAAATATAAAACGTAATGTCGCAAAACGATCACGAGTTGTTATCGAGACGTTTATATTTCGAGGTATGTAGAGTATGGTTAAGCGGGTAGATTGTGTTTTATAGATCGGAGTTTATAATTCTTATTGAGGTATAACATTTGTTATTTGTATCTTTTGCCACGTATGACGTAAAACTTCTTGTGTGTTAAATTTTATCATGACGTCTAAAAGGGCATCCAATAACAAATTATGAATTTAGTTTAAGAAGCTTTGGTGAGAATATTCCCTGTTACTAATAATATAGAATTTTCTGTAGACCACTGACCTGACCTGATCTGACTTAAGCAGTCTCTCGTCCAACCAGGACGAGAGACTGGTTAAGAAAGATTTGGAAGAAGAGGGATTACAAAAATAATCATATCGCATCATTTCAATAAATGAATAAAACCGTTGTGCTTTTTTTTTAAGTCACCATTGTCCACTTTATCTAGATAAAACGTAACTAACTGTTAAAAAAAAAACAAGGTTAATAATTAAACTGAGTGAATTCCAAATACGTCACTTTATATCACATAAAACGAGTTAATGTACTCAAAGCTGATTTAAATAAAGATATTCAAGATTACGAAACACTTTATATGAGAAAGGCACCATCGTGTGTGGTAAGAAAACACTTATTAATGATCTTTTAAAAAGTCTACACAATAAAATCAAAAAATTTGAAATTGTCTATAACATTAAAAACTATATTGAAAAAGAAAATAATTATTTGCTTCTTAAATTCAAACTTAATAAATACATCTCGCTGTGTCCATCAGCAAAAGACAAAATAAACGCGACAATAAGTCCATTGGTCGCTGTGAACGTTCACTAGCACTTGAGTTTGCATGCTACCAAGTGCATCAATCAACCACTGAATCTTATTCTCAATAATAACAAAGTAACTTCATCAGTTTCGGGGATCGCAACAAATGTTTCTCGGAACGTTGCGTGTCCTCTTAATGGCCTGAACACAAGTAAATGTTTTAAACAAAAGCCATCTGAAGCTTAATTAGGTTGTATTGGATGAAAGTCAAAAATTGTGGGGTATTAGGATGACGGGACCCGATTGGTTAGTTATATTTAAGTTGAGTAAAAAAAACTGGTGTAGTTACTTTGGTGTTTTTTAAAGCAGTTCGTAGCTACGCTGGACAAAAACCAGTTTTAAGGATAACAATAAATTTAAAAGTCAGATTAATTAATAGCTACAATAAACAACGTGTAAACATGATAAATACGGGTATAAAAAGATAATATTTTAAGAATGATCAATGTGAGAATTTTTATTGCAAAGTGATTTAATGTTCACTTTAGAGTATGTAAATGTTTATAGCTGTATGGGAAACATTCAGAATAAGTTGGCTAAAACTTAAAAGAATATTTTTACAATCAATTTTATTTCCGCAACGCTCTGTTACACAACGTTAAAATCGCAATCTAAACGTCTCAATACTAAAGCAATTTATATCAATGATCGTCCAACAATGTTAATAAGACAAGATACAAGAATGAAGCCATTAATGGAATCGCTAAAACTAACACCGTTTCGCGACCTCATAAATAACTAACCAATTTGAGCCTTACCATTAAGTTGTCAGAATTGAAAATTCAACAACGTGTCCATCGACAATTTATCTTACCTTGCGACGGGGATGCAATTAATCAAGAACCGATGTCACGTACGTAATATAACTGAGGTAAAAGAGAAAAAGATGATTTCAGGCTAATTATCTTTGATGCTGTTACACTTTTATTTGGCCACTTAACACCTACTGAGGCAATTTATATATTATAGTATTGAATTTTTGGGCTCTGTGATGCATTGTCTGACTACCGTAAATAAGTCCACTTGATTTATTTCTCATATATCCTCCAGTACTCATTTATCATCGTTCGTTTATATTTAGACTGTTTATTTTTATAATGAGCTCTCGAAAAGGTCAATTTTGTATTTATGCCTCTCATTTCGCCTTCGTTTATTTCTTAAATACTTTTGATATATATTACCATGTTCTCTTCATTGGCTATGTGATGCAAAATAGTTAATAAAGATTCTTGAAATTATTTTCTTGATTTTATTTAATTTTAAATGGAACGATTCGTTTTAGCATGTATTAAGCCTTTGTCTTTAAATAATGTTACGAGCGGGTATATAATAAATAAAAGATGTCGGTTAATTACTTTTATTGCACCCTACATGATACTAGATGTCGCTGTCCTCCATATTCCATATAATTGTGAAACAATCGAACCATTTAATCCTATGGCGCAACAATATTTTACGAAATATTAATTTTATTTCCATATTTCATTTTCACGCTATTAATTTTCAATAATAGTTTCCTCTGGTAATAACTCCAATACCTTTCAATGAATCTCAGTAGGTATATTGCAAACAAATGTCGTATAACTTCACATAATAGCTGGACCTCACAGAACCCTGATCAATTCATCGAATTAAATACCTTTAATTAATTACGATGGCTATCGCGGGTAGGATTGTGGATGGCAATTAGTCGTACCAGACATCCTTTGTTAGATGTCACTTAAAGGCTGCTAGTTTCCTGGTTCTGTTATCGTCTAAAATTACAAGCATTGAATTCATTGCTCTAAGGTCTATTAATAATATGACTACTATCTTTGTTTTTAAAAGAAGGAGCAGAATTCTAATGTGTATTTTTTCAAGTACATAATTCATCTGAATTAAAATGTTGTGTCCTAATAATACGGGAAGTTATATGTATGTACCTACATATAAGAGTGCCTGGTATTCTTTATTATGGGCTTAGCTACGATTTAAATAAATATATGAACCATTAAAATAGGTACCTACGACAGTACGAGTATTTTTAGCTTGAAAATTTTCAAGAGGTAACCGTTGAACAATTCATCATGTAAGCCGTTTCAACATAAATTCTCTTCTTTTATATTTAAACTATAAATACAATTAAATAATAACACAATACAATTAGTAATAGCCATTAAGAAATGAATCTTCTTATCAAGTACTATTATTTGGTATTGTGGAATACCTATAGTGGTACTCTAGAATGGTTTTCGCCTTCTTATGCTTATGTTGAATGTTCGATAAAACATTTGTCCTTAAATCTCTTGATATTAACCCTGTTTGTCTTTCTCTTACAGATGTCAGCTATCGACCCTGACTGCGGCGTCAATGCTATCGTCAATTACACGCTTGGCGAAAGCTTCGCGAAGCCACAATTTTCTGTAAAGCCTGACACTGGGGAGCTTTGTGTGTCAGCTCCACTCGACTATGAGGCCTACAGCGAATTCGAATTCCCTGTATTAGCCACAGATAGAGGTATGCAAAATTATTTTCTTTATAATATCAAATAGAATGTTAGCAATGAAAACAAGACATGTTTAAGACTTTGTGTAGTTCAATGAGAAGTAAAAAGAAAAAAAATATATTTTTGTGGTTGCTTCTTTCGCATAGTCTGATTAACGAAAGAAAATTGCCGTAATTTTCTAATGTCAGCAGACGAAAACAGCAATGTTGCAATAAAAAACACCATATTTTGTAAAAAGTTTACGACCTTACTATTATTTTCAAAAGGAAATATTCAAAATTAACGCAGGATTCATTGCTGATATTGTACAAAAGTGGGTCAGCAACATTCCTTTAGTATGCATTGGTTAATTTTCCTATAATTAGATCTGAGACTCTATACTCAAAGGTCTTAGAACAAATTATAGGGAGGTATGATTTTGCGGACTTTAAAGACAAATTGGTAACTTATAGCCCCTTCACTTCAAACACACCTCAATAAAGCATTCAGAACTTTATAGTGTAATTTTATATTTAATAATAATGGTAACATATCAATGTCTGTAAATTTGTCCTAGGATACTGTGCATCTAGGATGTACTCGTGTTGATAGAGATCAGATCAGAGACAGATCCTCTGAGTTCCTCCTTACTTCAAAGCCTTAAACCACGGCATCAGTAAAGTCATTATTTTAATTGAAATACCTCAATGAATTTGATGTTGACCAGGCCACCAATATTGAAACCAAAACTAATGATAGTAACATTTGTTTAGAATATAGAGCAATTTTGTAGTTAGCCATATCTCAAAATACTACAAAGAAAGTTATTTAAAATTTCAATAAGTATTCGAAATTTACGAAAAAAAATTAATCAAAACATTTCTTCGAGAATATATAATTTAGAAAAAATGATAAATTAACACAATTATGAACTTATAAGCTTTGGCAAATTCTTAATAATAATATAATGTAATAAACCTACTAGTGTGCCACGATTTGAGCAATTCAACCAAAAAGTCTAAACACTGAACAAAATGTCCTCATTTCCACATGATGTTCCTACATTCATTGCCACATACTGATTTAAATACTTTTGGCAATAAAAACATGGCCTTTATTGCTTATGAGGTTAAATTACTTATTCATTAAAACACTATCGAGAAAGCCATGAGACTTCAAAGTCGTGTCACAATGGTGAATCCCAAAATAAATTCCAATGATATCCGTCCCGGCCCAAAGACTTCGTCTCCTGATTTATGGAGAGAGAACTGTGCAACTATTGGGTCGTTTTATTTCGTTAGTGCAAGCGGCGACTTTGTCTTTCGATTTGGAATTTTCTTTTTTTCTTCATTCATGAGATTCTGTCTCCAGTGTATGTCGAGTTAAAAGTTTCAAATTTTTAGGAAAAATTAAAAGACTTGTATGGGTGTTTCGTCTATAGTATAAAATCAAACTGCTAGTTTTGATATCGTCTTTGGTATTTTAATTTATACAATATGTACATATAGTCTTCCCTGTCCATATAGCAAGGACAAAATTTTAGTCTGTTTCAAGTGAAAACTAAACTGATATTTTGCGTGCATTAACTTATAAGACTTTAATCTTTACATCTCGTAACGTGAGTTAGCAGACAAACTCGTAAAAGGTCCGAAGGAGTAAATTAGGGTATAGAAAAACCAGTTTACCCGCTTCGTATGCATTTTATTGTATAGAAGTCGTTCTTCCAATAATTTTAACTAAAAACAATGTATTTAATAATAAACTTCATCTGAACTGTAGAATTAATTAAATAATAATGATGAACAATATTTACGCACTGATGTAACGTATTTTGATCATTTCATCTCACAAAAATGTTCAACAGAAGTACTAAATTTTAAGACCTTTTTAACTCGTATTAACTTAAAATTAATTTTAATAAAACTTTTCTGAACCTATATTTAAGTTTCAAATTTCCCTAACCACTTATAAACAAACATAAATCAACGGCGTAGCCTGCCAATTAGATATAGCATTACAAACAATACAAACAATCAATACCAATTATTTATTCGCAGGAGGCCTGTCCACAACCGCTATGGTGAAGATCCAGCTACTTGATATAAACGACAATGTCCCAGCCTTCACTGTTAAAGATTACAACGTGTCTCTGAAAGAAGGACGGATATCGATCGAGCCGATTATTGCAGTTTCCGCAACCGATTCTGATTCAGGCAGATTCGGTACTATTACTTATAGAATAGTAAGTGGAAATGAGAACGATGTATTCAGAATTGACAGAAGCACAGGAGAGATATTAGTTACTAAGCCAGCTCTAGTTCAAGCAAATGGAAAATTTGACCTGGAAGTTTCAGCTACTGATGGTGGTGGTTTAACTGCTCCTCAAAATGCTGTAGTACATGTTACTGTAATGCCTGCTGGAATGGGATCAGCTCTCTTTGACAAACCAAGATACAATTTTCGGATAAAAGAAGATGTACGGATTGGGACGATAGTCGGAAATCTGAAAGCCACTGTTAGTGATAGAGGTAAGTGAACACTTGAACATTTTGCTAATTTTTTTTATCAAGTTCATACAATTAGAATTAGAGAAACATCAGTCGAAAGTTCTGATAGGTTAAGTATTGTTGTTCAAACAAAAACATGGTCAATTTTCATGTCAATAACGATCCGGAAAAGAAAGCTAGTATGACGTCATACATCGTTTATAAAAGTTTAAACACGTTCTTACACGTATTTATTACGTTTTAGGTTCTCATTCAACATCCGCATTAATTGTTTAGCCGGATAATATTTGTTTTGAATCTGTGTAAACTAGAAATAATGCTCATCTGACGAACAGAATATTATTTTAGCATACTTGTACAATTTCCATGTGAGGTAGAATGCAGTGTCGTTAATTTTGCATCTCGCTGTTTATATTCTCTACTATCGCAGAACTATTCACAATCGGAGTGGGTAAAAAACAGAGAGAATACGAAAGCACTTGCCAATATTGGCTCGTTTAAAAGAAAATGTTGAAGCGTTAATGGCTGCCGGAAATAAAGGTTAATGTACAAACAACTCAATGGTAGCCTACCGTTGACTACTATACTATGACTTCATTTCGCTGTAACAAATTTATTAGATTCGTGCTTAAGCAGTTTCTATTCAAATTAGAAACTTCAAGCGATTCACGTTGAATTAGTTTGAAGGTGACTATGAAAGGATAATTAAACTAGGAAGTGTTGGATTGGGTTTTAATGAGAATATTGAGAATCAACGGAGGAAGGGCATCTAGGTTTTAATAGTTTTGATCACGGTAACTTTTATGATAAAGACGTTTTTAATTGAGAAATTGAAAATGGTTTAAGATTAAATACTTTAATATCTTTATACACTTTTAGGTCAGTATAGGGGTTTATAAATTTAAATAATTCTGAAATGTTATTCTATCTTACTATAGTTTCATTCAACTACTTTTGAAATTATATTTTAAATTATCAGGTTATTCCCCCATAATTTAATAAACAAAAATATCATCCTGACCCCTTGGAATAGTTATTAAACACCCATATTTTGCGATCTACGATTTAGTCAGACTAACGTAATGTGGGCAAGCCTGGCTTGGCAATCATCAAGTATTAAAAATGGCAAGATTGGCATTATATTTAATGGAAAAACTAGGTAGGAAGAGAATATCATCATCATGATAAATGTAGAAAAGAACAATTATGAACCCTGTCGGGCACAGCAAACTTAGGAGACAAAAGCAAGCATTCTATCAACCATTAGGCATATTGAAATGTATTTTAGTAAATATAGCTAAGTAAGTATTTATTTTATCACTCACGTAATAATTAAATTTACTAAATATTATATCATAGTACATTATTAATATATATTAATTAGTGTTTATAGTATAATATGTGTATATATTAATTATTCAAATTAGTGGTTTAGATATTCATTTATATGATAGTAGCATTCTTTTCAAATTTAAATATATTTTAATACACATGTATTAAAATATATTTAAATTTGAAAAGAAAGAAGAAAAGAAGAAAAAAAGAAGAAAAAAATAGCAAGTAAAGTTTTTTAATTAACGATTGTAGGGACTATATAATAAAATTCAAACTAGCTCGCGTTGCTCTCTCGGCTAAAACAATATTCGACTTGCCGGTTGGTCTAGTGTTTGGTGACCCTGAGTGCTAAGCCGGAGGTAAGATTCCCACCCAGGACAAATATTGTGTGATGAGCACGGTCATTTGTTCTGTGTCTGGGTGTAATGTATCTGTAATATGTATGTATTTAAAAATATATAAGTAAGTTTAGTATGGTTACCATAGCACAGGCTCTGTCTAGTTTGGGATAAGACGACTGTGTGTGTGATGAGTGAAAAAATAATAATTTTACTTCAAATCCAGCTCAAATTTGCTTTTCTTTTTATCCAATATTTATCCTCTGATTGTGACCAAACGAATCATTAAAACAATTTTATTAAAGTCTCCAGTTCTAGTTAATCGATCTTCTGCTCTTGCCTTAGACCACAGTCTGATACAGCTGGATTCCTATAGAACAGTATGTAATCGCCCATTGTCTTAAGATATCACGAAGTGACGGTGCTCGGTGCATCCACTTTTATGAACGCGTTTGAATTGCTGATGTCGCCTTACCATTTAGCGAAGACTAATAATTTACTCGGCACGGAATATATCTTTTTTTAATGATTAACGTCGCTACGAATTTTACTGAGTAGGTATCTCTTTGTCTGGAAATTACTGGATAAAAGATATATCTATTTTGTGATTTTGAGTACTCGTACGGTTGTAAAAGAAGTCAAAATTAATAAAATCAAATTGATTGGCCTGTTGATCTAGTCGTGGGTTCGATTCCCACCCAATATCATTTGTTATATGTCAGGGTGTAATTTATCTATAATATGTAGATTTGTAACATTACTATTCAGTCAGATTGGAGAGTCAGACTGGCAAATGAAATAAACCAAAAAAAAGAAACAAGACAATTCTCTATAGAGATAAAGACACTAAGTCTTTAATTAGTTAAATGCTTTTAAAAGATAAAACGAGCACTAGCTTTGCTAAATTAAGAATACAACAAAAATAATTATTATTTCAGTTTTCCGACAGTTTGCACTACCGACGATATGTAACAATGCACATATATATGTCAAAAAATTTGTGAAATTTATCTTTATAATAATAACAACTTGAGACAACTCAAACACGGCCATCAGATCCTTAAAAGTGTACCCAAGATATCTTGATTGATATACATGCTTATAAATTATTAAATATACACATATTCGAGATAAATTACACCCAAACACAGTACACAGCATCGCCCTGATCCTACAATTATGTGTCCTGTACCTCAGAACACAGCATCTAAGGAACAGGACGATCAATAAATAAATGTGGGTCGGCCGTCGTCTCTATAAAGTTATAGCACATAGTGAATGATCACGTTATTAATTACAAAACGATGTTATTAAACTGTAGTATACCAAACATTGATTGATTACCGATCGCACGGCACCGCAGTATCTCATTTCCTTTAATATTTCTCACGACACTAACGGATGATCTTTAACACGGAAACACGACCCACCATGAGAAAAAATAAATACTCTTTTTTAAATCTGGATCACATCATCAGATTGTTATAGACCTACCTTCTCTAAAATTATTTTTAGTTTTTAGCCTGTATTGTCCCACTGCAGTCTCTCCCTTGTACAACTCTCTGTCGTGTGCTAGTTTGGAAACCGTCTAGATCGCCAAGCCATCGTTGCCTGGGCCTGCCACGTTGACGTATAGCACCTTGTGAGTTCTAAGCAGTGCTAATTTTTGCCCATAGATCCGTCAGCATGCGTCAAACGTGTCCGGCAGTCCCACTTGAGTGCGGCGGCTTTATGAGTGACATCTGCGATTTGTGTTTTGGAGCGTAGTACTGTATTTCTTAGAGCCAAACTTCGACACAAATGGTAGGGTCGACCGGTGTGATACCATGGCTTTACAGACAACTCGTGTTAAAGCAATTCTTTATTTGCCTTTTACGGTGTGTGGTCCGATCGGAGGCCCGAGTCCCTCCGCCTAGTTCTAGAGGGGGTCTCTTAAGTAACTGATGGCCATGGGCAATAGTCACATCAACAGCCTTTAACAGTCCACTGCGGGACATTGACACTATGCCAAAGGCCTAAGAAAGGAGGTTTTGGCCTCACAACGCTATACAACGCTGGCCAGACGGGTTGGTAAAGCGTTTGTTTCAAGTTTTTTGCCCATTGCAGTGCTGTTATCCTGCAGAGTTTGCTCCCTTAGTCACTAAACCTCAATTTACCCGTCTGTTCGTTTGCTTAAAATAAGAAAGAGAACATCATCATCAACAGCCTTTAATAGTTTACTGCTGGACTTGGCCTCTTCTTAGAGAGGAGGTTTTGGCCTACAATACCATGCTGGCCAGACGGGTTGGTATAGGGTTTGTTTCAAGTTTTCCTTAAACATTGATTTTGATCGCTAAAAGATATTTCAGATAAAATTGAATACCCGGAAAGTCAGCAAGAAAACTGAACATAATTTAGGATTTAAGGAAGTATCTAACAGAAGTTGTATATTATTAACTGTACCTAAATAGTACGTAACAAATATAATATCTAAGAAAGACAATAAAACATGTTTGGTATCTCACTTGCGACGAGTGCGTTTTGATAATATTTATATAGGTAGGACTTGGTACAGTTCTTGGTACAGCCTTTTATCACACCGAATTGTAAGGAAACCAAAAAAGAGATCAAATATTCCAAAGGTCGCGGGTTCGATTCCCGCTCAAGTCAAGCATTTGTGTGCATGAACATTTAATGTTTGATTTGGTCTGGGTGTTTCTATGTATAATATGTATGTATTTACAAAAAAAAAAGTATATATGTATTTATATCAGTTGTCTAGTACCCATAGTACAAGCTCTGCTTAGTTTGGGACTAGATGGCGTTGTGTGAATGTAGTAGAATATAAAAATATAAAAAAAAAATATAATTATTACAAATTGTCACTGATATGTTTCGATATCAATGTATTGAAGTCACATGTACTGCGTTTTCTAGTTTATGCGGTTTAGTGTTGATCTTGGCTTACAGGTAGGAATACAAATAAAAAAGTAACTAACTAACAATGGCTTACTTTTTATGATTTTTAACTAAATTATCATTAAGTCATATTTTTCTAGAGATTTTGCCTATTGGATAAAATTATGATGATTAAATTGGCTTCATTCTGCAGTAGCACCATCTAAGGTTTAATGATAAATATTTGGCACTCCACTTCGTACCTTAAAAGTTTTTTCAGGATGATAATTTAGACTTATAGAAATAAGTCAATTGTACTGTTCCATAATATTTATTTTTTAAACCTGACCGGTTTTTCAAAGGATAGCAAGCTCCACCTAGTACAAACAGCACTAAACAGTCAACAGCAAAAATAGAATGATAATCCTCTCTCTCTCACCGTCCGGTGTGAGTGCTGTCCACAACACGAAC